TATTTAAATCAATGAGACTAACCTTTATTAGAAGATTTGAAAATCTTCTTATGAACAACGTTCACAATACCACACCGATTCGCTGGCCTTACCACCAGCAGATTGTTAACGTCTGAGACACGTGAAACGGCCACGTAAAGCTGACCATGCGAGAAGACATCTGTTTCTAAATATACCCCAACCCTACTGAGTGTTTGCCCCTGACTTTTATTTACTGACATCGCATAAGCTGGCGCCACTGGAAATTGATAACGGAAAAATGAGAGGCCTGAGCGACTGTTTGACTTGTTTTGAAGCTTTGCCCTAGGTAAGGTGATGCTATTTCCTGCAAAGGGACCAGACATCAACTTTCCAATAATGAAGCCAGCACCGTAATCCAATACCATGATACGTGACCCATTACAAACTCCATTCTTGATGTCCATGTTCCGCAAGACAACCAGCGGCATACCAATCTTAATCATCAACTCGTGATTTGGGAATCCCCCAATGGTGAGCTTGTTGAGGCATTCTTCAGGCAAGCTTCCAACACCATCAGGGTCAGGGGTGTTGATTGACTTTAAGGTCGATGCAATTCCGGGGAGTCGGTGCAATATGTCTTCATTCAACTTCCTGACGTCACGATTGAGAGGAGCCAAAATACACCGTTCGTTTAGGTACGCAATCTTCTCTGTGTCGTCCTTTTTATAATTATCGGCCAGATCCTTATAGACAAAATCAATCAAAACTTGGCGCATTTCATCTTTAGATTTACATGCCTTGATATCGATATGATTAAGGTTGATGACACTGAAGTCGGATTTTTGCTTTTTGCCTTCACCCAATATCAACAGCGCTTTCGCGAAAGCACAATTTTTTTCATCCAATGATGCGCCAACTGCCTTTGCAAGCCGCATGTTATCGATGAGCTGGAATTGCCTGACAGATGCCCATATCTTCGACGACTTTATTGTTGCAGCGAATGCTGGCGGATATTCGTTATATTTGACGACTGGAAGTATTTGGCGAAAATCCCCGGAGAATACCACTATCTTACCACCGAAATCGGCTTCTGAATTGCATATCCTCTTGAGTGATTTGTTGACTGCATCAATTGCATTCTTATGAATCGTCACAATCTCGTCCCAAATGATTAGTCTTGCGGCGATCAAACGTTCACCGACCATTGTGTCCGCCTCTACTGTACACTCCCCACCCACTGGGCTTTCAATTGGAATCTTGAATGTTGAATGCGCTGTTTGACCCATTCTGAGTAAAAGAGCGGCAACACCTGATGAAGCGCAAACAATAGTCCTCGAACTATTGAGTGTTGCCCAATCAATCAGCGTATTGAGGAGGAAAGTTTTTCCCGTCCCACCTGGACCATCCAGGTAAAACATCTTCCCACCTCCGCCGAGAACAGCATTCTTGACTTTTTGAAAGAAGAGGCGTTGATGTTTGTTGAACTTGGCTTGATTGAGTGATAGCCTCGCTGAGATGTCGTTTGGATCCTCAATTCCCTCTTTCTCTGCCTGTATTGATCGAAGTAATTTCCTCTCGTTCTTCGTTACAATAAGTCCACACGAGTCCAATGTAGCACCCATCCCCTCAACCAATTCCTTCAGCCGGAAAATTGCAAGAACTCTTCGCTCGTCATCTCTAAGTTGACGACTATATCGTTTTCTCATGTCAACCCGACAGCAATCATCTGTAAAGCTGAGGTAATGAGTAGCAAATAACTCCAATGGAGCAGACGGTGGTGAGTGGACGCATATCATGGCAAACATTTGGGCAAGTTGATAGCCAGTGCTGACGGTGGCTGCCTCGTGTAGTGCCTGGTCGTAAAGATAATCATTCACCAGTAGGCCTAAATCATTGCAGGCGTCCTGGTACGTTGGGAACACGTGGCCGTTGACACTTCTCAAATCATCAAACGAAAGAATTCCTTTCCGATGAAGCAGAAGAACACGTAGATAAAACCTTTCGCCAGCCAAGTAGGAAATTGAAAAAATCCTCCCAACAGCCAACGCTTTTTTCTTCCTCGGAATCCAGGATTTGTCTCCCTTGTTCCACGAAAAATACGCTGGAATATCTTCATAAAAAATTGATCTTGCAGCAACACCATCAGCTCCAACTGCATCATTTGCATTAAGCTCAAAGTATCCAGTCAGGGTAGTGCGATTCGCTTTCCCACTTTCAATTTGCCCCGCCAGACCATCTTGACCTTCAAAATAAACAAGTTGTTCATCTTTGTCGTGGACTGATAGACGAGTTACGGGTGGGAAACGGTCTGAAAGAGGAAACTTAAAAAGACGCCACGCAGCTTTAGAAAAGTGTCAGCAAAAGTCTGGCATATGCGTATTGAAAGTCAGAAGCCCACCCTCAACCGCGCTGATATAACGCCCATCAACAAATGACCTCACTTCATCATTTGAGTCAACAGACAAGGCCATTCGATCGTGTCCCTTAGTGATGTACTTATAAAGGTACTTGATAGCCGTCGTATTAACCGGCACTTCAACATTTATATGACAATTGAAGTTCAATGTTAGGTATGGGTTGTATGGCACAACCAATCCGTTGTCGAATGTTGTGGTGTGCTTCACAACCCGCGAGCCATCGTTGCGACGTTTGTAAACTGGGTAGGCTCCATCGACATTGACTGTGCGTTCGGCAAAGGGTTTAGGGAAGCCAAGCTTGCACGATTTCCCATTCCAACATGGGCGACCCTTACAAGGGCCATGAAGCATGAACTCGGACACGAGGGCATGCAAGCGTGGTGATTTGGCCGCGTCAGGTAATTCGGCGGAGACAATCTTGTCAATTTCTTCTGGCGTTACTGGTCGATCGCTTTCGTCTAGGGTAACCATCAAGTGAAGATGAGGTAATCCCCTCTTCTGAAACTCAACAGTATAGACATATGCAAGAACTTTTCCGAATCTTTCCATATTGACAATTTCGTTTATCAACTCCTTCATCTTCAAGTAAAAGACTCGGGCCACAATTGTAGGGTGATCAAAGGCCTTCTCTCCAGGTGGAATCTCGTCGAGGATTTCTTTCCAGTTAGGGTTTGCGGTCATAGTTATGAATAGAGATGGTGGTCCAAACTTCCTGCAAATAGCCATTGCATCATGATAAAGCTGTTGCATGCATTGGGGACTACCAATGAAAGATGATGGCAAGATAACGCATCTTCCAAGTATTGGTGCTTGATTCTCAAGTGAGTTGACTAATCGACTGTAATTTCCAGCTTTTAATTTACGTTGGTTATTCGTTACGAAAGAAAGCCTCCCTCTTTCGACGCAAAGATACATATCGACGAGCAATTCCTGCGTAAGTGATTGACCAGCCAGAATTGGCGAGAACCTCTTTTGACGCCTGAACAGCAAGTAAGCAAACCATTCCAGGGATCCAACTCGCCTGTCCTTAACTGGAAAAACACAAACTCAGTACTACTTCATAATCTATCTATTACTCGAACAGAATGCTCACCGCGTCCAGTCCATGCTGCATACAAATTGTCCCACTTTTGCTGACCGTAAGGAAAGAATATCGGATAACGAAGAGGGAAGTAGGATGAATGCATGTCCGATATTTCCTCCAAACGTTTGTCCCGACGGTGTAGAATTATTTGACGTTCTCCTATAACATCACCATCGCCTTGAACCACAACTCCAACCTCATCAACAGTCGGATTATTGTATCGCTTTGGATCCGCACCTGCTGAGGGTACCCCTTGCAAGCTTAGTGTTTGCGCTTTTGATTTCGAAAGAACCTCGAGGGCGTTCCTGAAGATATTAGCATAGGGGTTGATTTTTTCCATCAAATTGATTAGGGTTAAGATCGTCCCTTGTTTAATCTTAACTCCTTTCATATTATCCTTGCTTGCCCCAAGGGCACAGTTGAGCCTATATTCCGCTTCTTCGATCCCCTTGTTTCCGACCACGTAAATTTGAGAAAACCCTGGGGAACTGTTGATTGGTTCAATGCTCGAGATCCTATGTGACAACGCGCCTGAGATCTTGAAGATGTTGACCCCCATAGGTCCTTGGACCGAGCGATCGATCCTCGCACCAAGCGATGTGAAAGAAATTGAATTGTTGTACATCCTCGTATAACGTTGAAAGTTAATGTCATCTGTAGAAACATATTGTTAGCCTTGATTCAAGAAACATGTTGGCTGATCTTACCTTCTCCCTTCCCGGTGAGGAATTTTCTTAAGACGGATGGATACCTTGGAGCACTTTCATCAAAGTCAGGCAAAGTGACTTTGTTTTTCTGGCAACACATCGAGTACGATTTTGTCCTCTTTGACCAGTCCAATAACGTTGCCTCGGTGGCCCAATGAAGTGCTCCACAAGACTCACATTGATGCTCGCATCGTCCAAGCCGGTGGGGAATTGAGTAGTCGGAACAGTTGTGAAGATTTGACTCAAAGTCTGGTGATGTGCTATTCGTGATCCTCGATTTCGAGTTTATCATCTTATGTTAGTGCCTAAATTACTAAAGGTTATTGTTCGTTGTAACCTTACTCAATTATTACAAGGGGAGGTTGACTTGGGTTGAACTGAGGGAATGAGCGCGATGGACAGAGAAGAAATCAATAAACAGTTGGAAGCAACTAACATGAACAAGAACGTTCCCGCTGCATTGCTCATTGAAGGAAGGTTCGGTAACAATTTGATCGGTCACTATCTGAATTCCTATGCCCATCATGATCATTATGCTCATTTTTCAAGTGCTAGTGTCCCAAGCTTGATGCACGCTCTACCCGTTGCTCAATTCGATAGAATGATTTGTTTCTCCGAGCTATAGTTTTTAGTAGGAAACTTGTCCACAGGGAATGAATTCAACAAGATTATTAGACAGTTTAGGCAGTTCTCGTGCATCTCCTCAACAAGGCATAATTAAAGTGATCGGATAAAGGCACAGGTAAAAGACTTTGTTGCCTCTTACCCAGTCACCGCACAATCACCAGGTCCTTCTTGTAATGCTAAAGACAGGTCGTGTAGCACTTCTTGCTAATCGACCTGGGAAAGTATTCAGCCAGCCATCAGCTTATGTCGACTTAGAGAAAATTGCAACTGGTAGGACTGACGACTAATATTAAGATGCCTGATCCAATTTCCTCACCGATGAATCGACCAAAAAATTTGACTTTGTCACGAATCAAAATCTGACACCTTTCACTGCCCGGAGTTTCATCAACTGCTTTGTCTATTCGTAACTGTATACATGATGCAATTCCCTGACAGAGCGAGTCAGCTTTATTCATTAAGGTGTTGCGGTCAACTTACTGAAGGTTGGTGATTGACAAGAATCTTATCCTTGATATGTTTTGTCCTTGTTGAGTCCCAGACTTCTTGAATTGACTGTACAATTCCTACCCCACAAATATCCATTCCATGTGGTCTGGGTTCCAATCCAATTTTGTCACACGCTTTGACAAGGAGAGGGTTGAACTCCCAAATTCTACCAAATGTTTCGTTGTTGCTTATTGAGCCCTTAATGGAATAATTTGTCATTAACGTCAAAGTGTAGCCAAGGTCTTCCAAAGATGGTGCGAGTAATGTGGCAATTATTTTGTCGTTTGATATAAATAGACGCTCAAGACCCCGATCAATGTGTAGTTCCGATGGAAGTAGGATTTTGTGTATGTTGCAAAGGCCGAGTTCTATATCGAAAGCTTCAAACTGCAATGTGCAACATGGTCTCAGTGTCTGAAAATTCAATTAATAAAACACCTTACCTTTTGTTCCAACCTGCAAGTTCCACCAAACGTTAGCTGACTTATCCCTTTGAGGGTAGGTGCTAATTTATAAGGCTTCATTTCTCCAGACATTAAGGGAGCCGAGTTAATATAATTGGTCATCACTTCCTCCTTTGATGTGTTAGGGAAAGTAAAGTTTTGAGTTGGTATATTTGTTCTGTGTTTCGAAATCGGGGTTGTGGGGTCAGATGGCAAGATTGTGAATGACTGATAAGCGTGTTTTAAGTCTGAACAATGCTAGTGATAACCCTGTTTGGCTGAGTCAGTTCCTCATGTTTGATCAACTGACTTGGTCAACCTCGAGCATAATGTAAAATAAAGAACTGGTTCAGTTGGAGTCAAACAAATGTGGTCAAACTAAATACCTTAATGGATGGCAGAGATAGGCATTGCCTTTGCGACTGTTTGCATTTTAAGTCTGATCAATGTTAGTAACAACCACGTTTGGCCAAGTCAGTTCTGAATGATTGATTAAGTGATTGGGGGACTTCGCACATAATGTCCAATAAAGAACTGGTTTGGTTGGAGTCAACCGAACGTGGTGAACCCAAATACCTTAATGAACAGCACATAGGCATTGCCTTTCCAACTGTTTCTTGCAGGATTTATCCATTCTGATGATGAGGTTTATTCCTTTAAATATAAAATTCATCCAAGGTTTGTGTCAAGTCTCGCTTCGAAAGAAAACAGGATGAAAGCCAACCTTGCCTAGTGCAAGATTATTGCTTGAGGATTATTTTGACATGATGAATCATTGAGATGAGGTACCTCTACATGCAGCAAGGCATCATAATAATTGGAAATTATAAAAACCCAAATTCTGGTTTAGGAGTGATACTGACAAAATAACCAAGACAAATGGTGACGAGAATTCAACATAAAGTTCAAACAAATCATGTGAAACATATTTTGAAAGGAAAGGGTAAGGAAAAAATTGTATCTGATGATAGTTACCGACCACCTATCCTCACAAAAGATTTTTAATGCAATGATGGGATCCGATGCAGTTGATGTTCAGGTTAGTTCTAGTGGGTTCCATCAATGTAAGTTTGGAGGTTTCCTATGTAGAGTTTCTCCTTTGGTATATCCTTGTATGCAGGCCGATTGAAAATTGCACCGCTTTTGGTGTCCTGGGAAGTTGTGGCGGTCTTTTTATTGATTTGAATTGACATTCCTAGCCGCTCGTGAGGTGAATCGTCATCTGAAAATAAGGTACAATGTCGAACCTCACGAGCCCTCCAAACGAGTTTGACGATTCCGTTAGCTTTTGCAAAGTCGATGCCACATCTGTAATCTGGGAAGACAAATGCTCCACACGATGAGTTTGACTGAGTGTGACCGGTTGCAGGTGACCAGTCATGCTTATTGACAGGGAGGAATATCCCAAAAGCAAACTCCGACAAATCTTGAGTGTCGCAGTGGGGCGGGTTAAAGAATCCTCCAGCGGTAAAAGTGAGGTTTGGGGCACAATCGTCATCCCCAATTGGCATGTCAAAATCCGGATGACCAATAGATGGAATTGAGTATTTGTTCATCAGGTCTTGATTGTCGGAAAAAGCGACATTAGCAAGCCGTCGGAACATTCTACCAAGGATGCTTGAAACTTGAGGCGAGTTCCGCATAAGATGACCGTAATCTTCCGGATGTCTAGTAATAGCTGCTTTGTTCCGGTAGAGCCCTAAAAGTTGGAATGCAACCATTGCCTTTCGCCAACCGATTGCGAACATTTTGCCTCCCCAGGAACGAGCCTCAGAGCCGACGGCATTGACGAAGCGTTTGGCAGAGTGTAAAAAGTTTGTGACTTGCCGATTC